TACCCTCTCTCTATGAAAATATAGTTATGTATATATATATATATATATATATATATATATATATATATATATATATATATATATATATATATGTGTGAACTGTATCTGTCATGTACAGTGCCTTCAGATTATATAGTAGAGATTAGTACTGAATGACTCTGACTGAAGCAAAGGTCTTGTCAAGTCTAAAATGATGATTATGAACACATGCAGCCTGAAAACCCCTTTAGTCTGCCAGTGTCGATTGGGTACTCTGGGATCCGAGTTACAAAATTACTAACGTGACAAAGACAAATACTTGCTTACACAGGCTTTTAAAACCAGTTTCAACACCATCACACTTCTTTCTGCTTCCTCACTAATTCGTAACTGCTGTTGTCGCTACACGTTTAAGCTCGGTTTGTTGCCAAAGATTTATGTGCCAAATTTTGGATATTGCACTGTAAAATAATGTCAATATGTAACTAGTGTGAACAGCTTATTCCAAAGCAATAAAGGGTTAAAATATTTCTGTGAGTATTGTTTAATTGTGTGACGCCATTTAACAACAGCTACTGTGACAAGAATGAAGAAAATTGTCCATTTATGGTGGTTAGTTTCAAAGTGAGGCTTTTCCCCATTAGGAGCTGGGAGGAGCATATGATTTGAAAGGCAGGGCTTTACCACCACCTACTGGTCAAAACAAGGTAATGCACGCGAATTTGAGGATTTCCTCTGAAAATATTTAATCACCTCCTAGTGATTAAAACCCACCTGGACCCTTAGTGTAAACTCTTATCCGACATGCTTATATTTGTGACGACCAGCACATTAATTCAATACATATTAAAATGCATAATTTATTCTAGTAAAACTGCATTAATTTACAGGAGATTTAAAGTAGAATCATCTCCAGGTTTGGGTTATAAAATGATATCCCAAGCTTTTGACACCTCAAAGAACAAAGCTCAATTTGTCATCTAAAAATGGAAAGTAGAAAAGTAAAAAGACATTGACATCAACTTAGGCAGAGCATCAAGAGGCCATGGGTAGAGTTGGTAATGCTCAGATGGGAAAACAATGTCTACAACAGAGCACTCCACAAATTTGCCAGTTACGGATGAGAGGAAAGAAGAAAGGCAATTGTTGAC